GAGCATGGAATAAAGTCGCAGCCTGGTTGGTGGCCTGAAGGTGGCTGGGACAGAGTGGGGTGCGGAGGTGCAATGCCCCGGAGTGGGGGCTAAGAAACTTACCGCGACCAAGGACAAGGGGGGCAGCATCCCAGAAGGTGGCAGCTGCGGCTCCCAGGCAGAGGACCCCAAACAACACACCCAAGCACCAGATTCCGCAGCTACTGCTGCGAGTTGGAGGCGCGCCAGGGTGGGACGGAGAAAGCCACAGCCAGCTGACCCACGGCTGCATAAATAACCAGGGCAGGCTCTCGGGCGTGCAGCGGGTGGCTCTGTGCTTGAGTTGGGGCCAAGTGGCTGCTGCAGAGCTTCATGCGTGTCTAGCGCTTTCTCAGAAGCTCGAAGGCCCGCAAGGTCTCTATCACCACCCCCACCCGGATCTGCAGGCCTGTGTATAAGTAGGCGCTAGAGGGCGTGCAGCACGCACCGGGCCCACGCAGTTGTTGGCAATGCAAACTGCACACACACCAGGTGCGGAGCCGCCTAGTTTCCAAGGGGCACGATGGGGGAGACAAAACTTTTTGTTTTGTCTTCATTTATGTTGTTACTGTTGTCCGTTGTTCTTAATCCAAAACTTGGTTAGGAACTAGCTGGTTAAGATGCCTGTCTCTCCATTCCACCTATTTCCCACTGTTTCCCAACTTCAAGGGAAGGGAAAATGCGGGGCAGAATATTGATCGGATTGGCAGTGTTGCCTCCAGACTGACATCAGGTCCACCTGCAATATACATAACTTGCTGGAGAACTTATTTGTTCTGCGCCCTATCTTCCCCTACCCCCACCCTTCTGCCCACCTTCTGTTCTGCCTCCTCCAGCTTTCCCCAGTTAGGAGTCAAGGAAACGTGGTGAGGAAGAATGGGAGAATAAAACCACATGCTGTATTGGCAAAACTGAGTTGTGTCTGCTGCTTCTTGGCAGTCCCCAAAGTAGATCCTCTCAGCAGATGAAGCTGCTGGCAAATGAAACAGGGGATTCAAGTGAAGTGTAGAAATCTTGGAAGGGATTCAAAGCCCTTGGTGGCAGGTAAAGTACAAGGGAGTCAAAAAGGGAGACCCAAGGGTGCCTTGAAACACTGGTCTTTATTTGCACGGTGTGTACTCTAGGACCTGGGGTGGAGACAGGCCAAGCGTCTTTCTCACTCTTCATTGTAGTGGCTCCTGTCTCACTTGGGCCCAGGAGTTCTTAGGCTTCCTGGTGGTCACGAAGTCCAGGACACTAAAGTAAGGCTTGGAAGATGGGAGCTACTGAGATTTAATGGGGGAGCAAAAATAGCAGGAATGAAAGGAAAAAAGAAATTTCCAGAGCCTTCTCCATATACACTTTAAAGCCCAAACGCCAGTGTGAGGATGCTCAGGCCTGTGTCTAGCATCTTTGTCTTTTCCTCCCCTGCTGTGGTTCCCCTGGCCACCAACCTTTCCCTACTAGAAGACACCCAGGGAGTAGAGAAAGCACATCTTGCCAGGAGCTACTGCCCTTGCTAAAGCCCTCTGCCACAGCCAATGGGCTGGGCCTGGGTCCCAGACGTGAAACTTCAGGCCAGGCGCACACTTGCTCCCCTTGTCCTGTAGCCTCCCTTCCAGCCCCTGCTTCTGGCCACAGGCAGACACAGCCAGCTGGCGACCAGGGGCTGCCACCTTGGCACCTAGTTTGTTGATGGGTGGTCCTAAAATATGTTAATCTGCAATACCTTGAACTTGCCCACCACTCAGCCCCAGCATGGCTGGGAACCCTGCAGGCTTTTTTCTCCTGAGCTGTTGGAGCCAGCAGGGGTTTAGCTCTGTTTACTAACAGATTCCAAATAGGAAAACTGGGTTTCCACAGCTGAGGAAAATGCTGAAAAGAAAAACAATGAACTGAACGAATAGTTTTCTTTTGCACAAGTCACTGGTCAGCTCACTGGATCATGCCAGCCTTTAAAGGAAACACAGGCTACAGGAGAGACACAGAAAGCCAAATCCTGTCCTTGAAGTCCCCACTCAACTCATAGCCACAGTTCAGGTCTGCTTTGGAGCACAGTAGATCTACAAAAGGCATTTAAAGAGGTTCCAAGGAAAAGTTAAATTGGGTTACAGGAGTTTTAGCAAGCGCACCTCGAGGCCCCCCTCATGAAAAATTTATTTGATTTCTATTGTATTTTATGATGAAACCACCAATCAGCAAAATCTGAAACACTGCTCTTCTGCTGTCCTAAGGAAAGAAAAATTTGTTTGGTATTTGCCAGACCAAATAGTGTCTGCCAGAGTATCTTATGCAAAATAAAATGGTATCTGCCAGATTATCTTGTGCAAAATAACCCCCCTCCCCAATAAAGCTATTTTGAAGAAAAGTGAGGGATGCAAATGACACACTAGAAATATTGGTTTAATTTAAATGATGGCCTGAGTGAGCCTCATGTATTTTTAGTTATTTGTTGTAAAAATATAACAAATAATTATAATATTATAACTATTCACATACGTATATGTTTTCTCCAGAACTTTGAGTCTAACAACAACTACATTTTTCTTTTAGCCATCTTAAATTTTTTAGCAAAGTCCAGGCAGGATACTATAAAAACTATAATTGCAAACAAAACAAAACCCCCCAAAAAAGGGATTACAAAGAATAAAATTTCTCCACAAAGAATTATTTGGTTAAAATCAAGAAAGTTTCCCCATTGCCAGAGCAGAAGAATATCCCAATACCAGTCCATCACAATTTCATCTCTACTATGAACTGAAGCACCTGGAAATGACTGCTCAATATATGTTTCATTTTTTCTCCAGAGCAAACAAGACTCTGACAATGAGACACTTTAGTTTTAGCATCTTTTGCAATCTTAATAATCTGACATTTACCAAATTATCATTCTTTTTATGGCTGAGTAATATTCCTGTGTGTGTGTGTGTGTGTGTGTGTATATATATATATAACATTTTCTTTATCCATTCATCTGTTAGATGGCATCTAGTTTGGTTCAGTAGTTTAGCTATTATGAATTGAGGTGCTATAAATATTGATGTGGCTGCATTACTATAGTATGCTGATTTTAAGACTTTGGGGTGTATGCTGAGGAGTGGGATAACTGGATCAAATGGTTGTTCCATTCTAAGTTTTCTGAGGAATCTCCATTCTGCTTTCCAGAGTGGCAGCACTAATTTGCAGTCCTATCAGCAATATATGACTGTACCTATTCACTTACATCCTTGCAAACATTTATTTTTGCTTGTATTCTTGACAATTGCCATTCTGACTGGAGTGAGATAAAATCTCAGTGTAGTTTTAACTTGCATTTCTCTAATTGCTAGGAATGTTGAACTTTTTTTTCATATATTTGTGGACCATTCATTCTTCTGTTATGTGCTTGTTCAGTTCTTTTGCCCATTTATGGATTGGGTTATTTGTTTTTTAAATTGTTAAATGTTTTGGTTTCTTTGTATATCATGGAGATTAATGCTCCAACTGAGGTGCAGATTGCAACAAAACAGGTGTTTTCTATTATGCAGTTCAAAGTTCTTTCAACAGATGCTCATTATCTAATTGCAAAAATGTTTGCAGGTTTATGTATTGTTACAGGAGCATGCAATTCCAGGTTCCAAGATCTGCATTGGTTTCCTATTGCTACTTTAAAAAATAATACCCTTGATGGATTAAAGAAAAACTTATTCTATTATAGTTCAGAAGTCTAAAATGTATTTTGCAGAGCTAAGATCAGGGTGTTGCCAGGCTGGGTTACTTTAGTAGGATCCAGAGGCTTATGGTTTCCTCACCTTTCTTAGCTTCCAGCAACTGACATTCCTTGGCTCCTGGCCACATCACTCCAACAACTGTTTCTGTCTGGTCTTCTTGTGCCTTTCTCAGAATTGGGATACTGGTATCTTTAGAAGGTCACCATTCAGCCTGTCATAGCCTCATAACTCAATACACAGTTTTACCTGAACAAATTACTTGTTATTGTTGCACTTTTGTTTGTGTAAAAAAAAAATGCCATGGAGAAAGTGAAGAAGGAGAGACTGAAACAGTATAAATGCAGGTTAAAGTAAGCAATGGCTCCAGAGAAAAAGAGAAACAAACTGGCAGACACTTCACCAAGAAGGAAACTAAACAATAAATCCAAAATTATAGGGAGAAAATATGAATGGCAAAGCAATTGGCTTTCCATTTAGTTCTTATTGAAATATTAAAAGTATAAAATATTTATACTCTCAAACTCAAGCCTCTTATCCTACTGTTGGTTAAAATAAAAACAAAAATGAAGACAGTTTAGAAATTAATTTGATAAGACTTTGGAAAAGTATCTGAATTGCTCATATCTTTTGATCAGTTAATTTTATGAATTATTTGAAGTATTGTATCATTTAAAGGCAAAAAAAAAAGTTCATTTTAGAGTTTGAAAAGTTACTTTGATAACAGAATTGAAAGAAAGCACCAAGAATGTCCATAATCACAAGATACTAATTACATGCCAAAGGAATGAGTAAAAGGCTGCTGCTGAGTCTGGGATTGTGGTCCCTCTGTGTTACAGAGCCAGCTTCAACACTTACCCACTGAGTTCCCTAGTACCTGTCATGCAGCACCCCAGGCTGGTGCAGCCACTGAAATCACCTCCACCTGGATTTCCCAGAGGCAGACAACATACAAAATACTGCAGAAAGCTTTCTACCTGGGCAACAGTTCTCTTACTTCCAGATCAGTCATAGTGGAATTCTAATTTGCTTGCCATGACTCTCAGAAACCCAAGTCATGCTTAAGTGTGCATGTCACCTGTAGGACAACACTGGTTGCCCATCACCCTTCCTCCAGGCAGGAGGGATCTTGGCAGCCCATCTGGTTTGTGCCACACAAAGGTGCCATAAATTCAAATTATACGGCCCATCCCAGTGACCTCCAAATAGTGACTTAAAATTCAACCTTTCACCATTTCCATTCACATGTCTTCAGGAGAATGATAAAAATATTCAAGCAAAGATCTATGGATAGGTACGGTGCCACCTTCAGCCAAGGTAGCAGAATTAAATATTAGCTCTCACATTGACTCTCCCAGGACCCATAAAATTACTTGATCTAATTATTTTTAAAGGAGGATAAATATATTTACCTTCTTTTTCTCTAAATATCTTTGTCTATAATTACCCATTAGAGCATTTATTAATATTTCCTCTTCGTGGATGTGATATTGTCTGAAAAATTGCATCTGAAATCTTCTATGATTTGAAATTTTATTACTAGCGAGAACATGGCTCATCCACACGCTTAGTTGCCGCAAAGGATCTGTACATTAATTTAATTTTTTTTTTAAGATCTGCCAAAATCCCTTAAGAGCCTTGTGTCTGTGCCCTTGGCCATGTTACATTGGAGCACC